ATATATTAATATTTTAACATTCGAATATTTGAATATTCGAATAATTGAATATTTTAACATTTGAACATTTGAATATTTGAAGCAATATTTAAATATTTGAATTCAAATTTCGAGTTTGACATATATGTAAATTGTTTGATAGTTATTTGTTAAAAGTGATAATATATTAAATTAAAAGAGAGAACATTTTTTAATTCAGAACTTTAATTGATTTAAAAGATGTTTAATTAAAAAATTAGATTAAACAATTTTTTAAAAAGTATTCTTTCACCGAAATAGATACTACTGTATTAAGTTAGAAAATATTCATATAATTTAGATACAGATTGCTATATTTTTAGGTATTACATTAAATGCATGCCGATTTCTTTTAGCTGCAAAAGGAATTTATGGGAAACGTACCTTTCGAATTAGCACCACAAAACAAATCAATGCCAAATTTCATTAAAACTCAATCTATGGCAAATACCGTATATCTCATCAAACATAATCCTTCTCAAGGGAAAAAATCACATATGTCAATTATCGTTGACCTAGCGGGTGAATCAAATGCAAAACAAATACAAGGATTATTGCTTCACGCTCTTGTTGATCGACCAGTACAAAGTGTAGTAGCATTAACAAAATTTGAGCATTTAACACATGTTGTCGAAAAAAATGAAGTTGAGTATCGTGTAATTGGGCAATTGGAATCTAGTGCATATCTTGCTGATGTTCATATGATTCCAAATGCATTGAAAAATCTACTTGTAAGTGACAATCCAATGATTCCAGATGTATATAAAAATGTACTTGTAAGTTTCAACCATCGGCATAGAATCTTTCTTTTAATGTTTTTTTTCAAACCCATTAGGCATCCCAATTTTATACAAACTTGTGTTCAACTCATCGTGCTCCAAGTGAACGTGGTAATATATATTTAATACCATTAGTAAGTATTTGTTATTTCTCTACTGAATTTTTTCTATAAGAAGTAACAATTTTTTTCGTTTTATTTTGAGCGTTTTTAGGGAGAAGCTGTTTATCATGAGCTGATACAACGTAATTCAGGAATAATATGTTGGAGTAGTGTAGTAAATTGTCAAAAATATGCTAG